GAAGTCTGAAGCCTATGTTTTAGACCATTTTACCATGAACAACAAGCATAATTATAATGCGGCTGAACTATAGCTCCTGCCAATGTCAACATTGCCTTCTTGTCCAGAAACCTAGAAATTCTAGCCAGAAAACTTACACTTTGATTTACTTCACTGAGTACTTTTTGAGCTTGACCAATAAAAAGTATTGAATATTGAATAGAATATTGAGAGCAAATTAGTTAAATTTGCAGATGATAATACATTGGGAGGTTTGGCAAATAGTTTAGAGTCCACTAAAGTGATTCAGGATGATTTGGATAGAATCCAGAATTGGTCAGAAATGTGGCAAATGAAATTTAATGTTGCGAAATGTAAAGTTGTACATGTAGGTAATAAAAACTTTAGACAGGACTACGACATGGGAGGTTTAAAACTGGAATGTGCTCCACATGAAAAAGATCTGGGAGTGATTGTAGACCAAACCCTCACAGGTTCTAGCCATTGTGCCTAGCAGTTAAAAAAGCCAATCGGATGCTGCAAGGGATACATTGCCAAAAGTATTGAGTACAAATCCAAGGAGGTCATACTTCTCTTGTATAACACATTCGTCAGAGCACATCTGGAGTACTGGGTACAGTTCTGGGGACCATGCTTTAAAAAAGATATAGAGGCTCTAGAAAAAGTTCAGAGAACAGCCGCTAAGCTAATTCCAGGTATAAAAGATGAAAGCTATGAGAAGAGGCTGAAGATCCTTCATCTCTTTAGTCTTAGGAAAAGGAGACATAGAGGTGATCTGATTGAGGTCTTTAAATATGTTAAAGGGATTAACAAAGTGAATTATGTAGGATTCCTTCGGCCAAGTATTGTTAGTAGAACTTGGGGTCACAAATGGAAGTTGACAAAGGGTAAATTTAGCACTGATATTAGGAAATTTTTTCATCCAAAGAGTAATTTCGATGTGGAATAGCTTGCCTGACCATATTGTTGAGGCAGAAACCTCGGGAATTTTTAAGAGCATGCTTGACTTAAAGCTAGATACCATTGAGTCATTGAGTGTCTGAAGTGATATATTCACAATAGTTAAAAGAAACTGGCGAGCCTAGTTGGGCTGAACGGCCTGTTCTCGCCACTGATGTTATGTTATGTTAAATGACAGATCAATGAAGGGTAACATTGACAAAAGACTTTACAGTGATATTGTATGGATGGAAAAAAATGAAATAATGATTAAAAAAAAATTAATTAACCCAGTGCTTTCTCTGAATTCCATCTCACGGTCTAGGATTTTTTTAATGGTGCAACCTAATTTATTTTATGATTGCATTTTATCATAATGTTTTCAGTGTTCAAAAGAATGGGTTGCATTTGCAGGGAAGCGTAGTTTTACACTGGTTGCTTCACAAAGTGATAATAATTAATTTATTAAATTACCAACCCTTCTTACGTCAAAGCGTTGGTGATTGAATAATTTAGTAAATTGGATATTAGTACACTGTGAAAGATCGAGGCTTGGCATGCATTTAAAATCATTTGGCACACAGAACAAAAATATAAACGCACGAACCAAAAATGCTGAGTTAAATTGACCTATAATGAAATATGCCCATAAATAGTGTTTATTGGTGTACTGAATGATTTGTTTTGCTCAATTCTGGTGACCCACTTCTCATTGACCACTCCCTGTGAGATTACTTACTCATTGAGTTATTCCACCCCTGAGCTGCATAGAGCATAACATTGAGTTGGTCAGTCAGTGTGACCAATACACAGGCACTCTTTGCACCAGAGGTTAAATTATAAGGGAACTTATTCCATTGGGTAATTTGCAATTCAACATGCGAGGTTATGCACCTAGGTATTCAGAACTTATTCAGCATAAAGCCATGACCCCTTAATATTAGCAAACTCCTGCCATCTTCCAGAAGATCCCCCTTGGAGGGGTGGCTATTTGAAAACAATGGTTTGCCTATAGAGTAAATTTCTGGCATAATGTCTGGTACACTATGTGGATTTTCTTTCCTTCAAACAAAGCACCCACAATTACCTGAAAAATCTATTTTGAACCTGACCTGATCCGTCAATACAGTAGGCTACCTGCAACCCATCTGTCCCACTTCTATTATCAAATACAAAACTCTGCATTTCACTGGAAATAGCTTATCATTATTTGCAGTTTGGTTGTCAAACAAAGTAGCCTTAAGAGCTGCACTTTTGAGTAGTGGCAAAAGCAATGGATGACATTAATGTCACGTCTATAATTTATCTGAATTTCCTCTGTATATCTGACTTCGCCTTCAGTCATCAGCCAATAGTCCATGGGACAGGCCAATCAGCTACTGCCTGAACCTTTTTTGTCTCCATCACTACTCCCACTGGTCTGATGACATAGCCCAGGAAGCAGATGGTGGATTGGTGGAATGAACATTTCTTGGCCCTGATATAGAGTCGATGGTGTAATAGACCCTCGAGTACCACCTTCATGAGTCTCACATGCTCCTCACGGGTGCGGGAGTAGATCAGGATATCTTTGATACAGGCTATGACATATCTCCCCAGCATGTCTCGTAGCACGCGTTGATGAATGATTGGAACATGAAGGGGGCATTAACCAATCCATACGGCATGATGCAGTACTTGAACTGGCCAGGTGGTACTGAATGCCATTTTCCACTCTAGGGATGTAACAATTACCGGTGTAACGGTAAACCCTGATGAAAATGTTGACAATAAGAATTACCGTTTTCATTTCAAATAAAATTATTATCTCGGTGGATTACCGAGGTGTGGAAACCGTGTGTTTAATCCTTCCCAGCTTCATCCGAGTCTCCTGAAGTAGCGCCAAGAGGCGACTGTGTAGCCTACAACTTGCGTTTAAACTTTATTTAAATTGGAAATGGAATCATGGCGGAAGGAGGAGACGACTGCGCTCAGGACATCTATCAGCCCTCTAAGAGGACTAGGTCTGAAGTATGGGCATATTTTGGGTATTATTTGAATGCCGGGGGACACTTGATTGAAGACAGTTATCCTGTCTGCAGAACATGCAGGAAAAAGTTTCTGCTAAAGGCAGCAATATGTCAAATCTCATGGCACATCTCCGTGACCATCACCCACAACTTTATAGCCAATGCAAAGTTAACGTTAACGTTTTAGCTGAAATACATGATGTGGGGACATCGGGTTGAGGTTGAATGCAATGATCCTTCTGTCTAACTTATTGAGTAGTCAATAATGTAAACAGAACCCTAAGTACAGCGCCCGTCGCCATCGAGAATGCATATCTAGCAGCGAATATTCTAAGCTAAACAGTTAAACTTTAATTCACGAAGAGACGGTGAAATGGTGAAAACAAGGCATTATTTAGCGCTAGTTGAAGGCATCAAAAATGTCATAAACTTAGTTTTTTGTAGAAATTTAATTGACAGTGACTACATGTATATTACCATATATCATTAAATGGACGTTGGAGTCAACCAAATACGAGCTAGCAGCTAGATCAGCTAAATCGCGCTAGCAGATTTGTTTACTATGACAACGGTTAACACTACTAATCAGCAATGTCATAAACATTTGCTGAAATGACACGGTACCAGAAGCATTCTACCTAAAATCCACATTTTCGTTCAGTGGTCACAGTGCACGGGGAGGTCGTTGATCAGCCAAGAAGAACGCAAGAATTGGTCATTGGTCGTGTTTGTCACACAGTCAAAAAGCGGCAGTGTTAGGGTCGTGTATTTTGGGCAAAATTCGTGTGGGTCGTGAACCGGGAGGAAGCTGGTAGTGAAATGTTACAATCCAGACCTAATTACGACCTAATTTCCGCCTGACGACTCAAAACCGCTTGCCTTCAGACTTTAACTCTGAATCCGGTCGTTTCTTGCTCACCACTGGAAACCGACCACGGTCGTCATGAAATCACGTAACGTTGCCAAGATTACTGAGATAAACGGAGAGGACAGGAGGCGGGCACTGCAGCTTAGGGCAAGAGTGCCGCACACAACCTCCACTTTTTTTGGGTTTTTTTTTTTTTTTTGGCCAGAATGATTTTAAAAGGGGGCACAAATATTTTTAGAGGGTTTATGAGTGAGAAGGGGGTTTAGATTCATAGGGGAACGATTTTAAATGGAAGTGGCAGACGCGGCGCGAGGAAAAAATATCCTGCGGTAATTCCTGTTTCCACATCTTTACTCCTCCCTCGCGTCACTACCTCTGTTTACTATCTCTTCAATTTTTTATGTCCTTTTTTCACCCTTGTTTTTTTTCTCCTTCAATAAAGCTGTGAACAAAGATTTACATGTTAAGTTAGACATTACATTAGTGTTTGCAGCAGGATTTGAACTTGGAAACCCGTGCACAAAGCAAAGCATCACACACTGTAGTCTTAACCACTAGATCAACTGAGTTTATTTCTAGCAGGGTGCATCAGTTTCTATTTATCGCTGAAGGGTAAAAGACAACCAACAGTATAACGTTCTATAACGTTCTATAAATAATATTCATTTTCCTTTTTATTTATTTATTGTTATCAATGAGGAGACGTCATGTGAATATCCATTTTGACGTATTTTATGCTGGTGAGCTGGCTGATCCGTTGACCCTGGGTGGAATAATTTGAACCGAACAAACCATTGTTTGTGTACGAGTTAGGTTAAGGTTAGGGTCAGGGATAGGGATAGTTTAGTTCGTTTGGTAAGTGTGAGCACGAGTGTACGCAAGTACGGTTGGAAGAGGTGGACTCGGGCACGATCCATCTGTACTTGTATCAAATGTGAAAGCAACCGTACTTGAGCACGGCAGATTACCACTATATGTCACGGCTGTCTTGTTCTAACAAATGCAGTGGCGAAAAGATATCTCCATTCAAACGAATAAATTCAATGCTTGCTCGAAATGTAGGCGGACGAAAACACAATGACCACTGGGTACCACGCACAAACACTTGGTGTCCTTAAGAATTATTTTAGAGTAAATTACATTCGCATAGTTATCAGAGAACAACATGTGGCAGGCCGCAAGCGTACCCGGGCGGGGAATCGAACCCCAGACTCCCCACTAAAAGTCTAGCGCGCTGACCACATCGCCAATGAGCCTATCACAAAGAATACAGAGCCATGCCCATGACAAAAACTAGCCGATACTTGTGTGAAAGAGGTCAAGGAAGCCAGCCATTTCCCATCCTCCGTGAGCACTGTGGAAGCAGAAACTAAGGACCAGAAAGCTATGATGACTCCAAGTGACCTGACGTACAACGACGACCATTATTTGAGCAGCTTACGACTTGGGCAACATTGAGTCGGTGTTCGGTGTGAAAGAGGTCAACGCAAATTCTTCAGCTAACCTTGATAGTCGTGTTTTGGTAGTTACAAGAGTCGTGAATAGGTCGTGCGAAATAAACGACTCCAGTCAGATAGCATTTCGCCCCAAGCCAGCCTAATCCCATCCTCCCCGAGCAATGTGGGTGCAGTGTGGCGCTAGCTGCTGGACACTTTCTTAACCTTAGCCTAAGAGCTAGACGGATGCCCACTTGCGTTTATTAAACAGTAGTAGATTACAGTATTTTATTGCATTGCATGCATTTCTTGATTTCTAAAAGATTGCATGATTTGTATTCGGAGTGGCTATTCATACAGCCGCTGTGTAAATAAGCCGTAGCCGCGTCCCTGTGCAGTTGTTTTATTTGCAAAGCCGCTGTGCAAATATTGGGTCAAGTTATTTTATTCGCACTGCCGCTCCTTATGAGCAGCTACTTAGCAGCTGTGCCAATAAGGATGGGCCGTAACATTATTCGCACAGTAGCGCGTCCATTTGTATTTGTCCAAGGTCAGTAAATGGTTTGATTCTAGCGAAATTGGATAACTTTAATTTACTAAGTCACACAGTCTGAGCCAAGTGTCTTTGAAAACACGAAACATGATTATTTGCCCTGTAAGATTATGAATTTCTAGCCAATCGTTTTCTTTTGATTTTGCAACAAAAACGACTATAGGCGAAATCGTATGTGCATTGATATGAATGGTAGCCCCATGATAATAATAATACATGATGCTAGATCAGCAGCATCTTATTTGTTGATGATGGAGAGAATAAGTATACAATCAGTTCTGTTCCACTGATTTGTTTACATATATATTCTTTTATTTTAATGTCATCAACACTTGGACATTTGGATTTGATTACATATGATTGTAGTGGTTATTTTTGTAATTTGTTTGTAGTGGCTATTTTAAATGCATAATGCACTTTTGTCTTATTCTTTTAAGGTTTACTTTAAAGTGCTCATGTGTACAGTTCTACATTTTAATTTTGATGATGAAGAAAACAAGTAATAAGTGGTGTTTCTTAGATTTGTTTACATATTGTTCTTTATGTCTTAGCTTGAATGTTTGGATTTGTATAATTTAAACCTGCACTAATGGAAATGTTCCTGACAAATAAGCTGTTTACATGCTGAACCCTTGTTCCTTTGATGCTAAGAGTTGCACTTTTGATAAGGTTTTGCCTATATTTTTGAAATATAATAAACACCGTTACATTTTTAAAAACTATTTCAGTTTGTGTAGGCCTATCAATGCTTTCTGAACATATTGAACACATTTTTAAAAATGCAGCGATAATACCGAAAACCATGATAATTTTGGTCACAATAACCGTGAGGTTAAATTTTCATTCCATTACATCCCTATTCCACTCATCTCCTTCTCTGAGGCAAATCAGACTGTAAGCACTGTGGAGGTCGAGCTTAGTGAAGATTTTCACCCCACGAAGCTACTTAACTGCACTGGGGACCAGGGGGAGTGGGTAACGATACTTCACCATGATGTCCTTTAGGCCCCTGCAGTCTATGCAGGGGCGGAGACCTCCGTCTTTCTTCTGAATGAACAAAAAACTGGCGGACGCTGGTGAAGTGGAGGGACAAATGAAACCTTGTTGCAGGGCTACATGACTGGTCCATTGCTTGGGTCTCTGTCACAGACAATAGGTAGATTTGGTTCCTTGATGGAGTGGTGTCAGACAGTAGCTCAATCTCAGTCCCATGGATGATGCGGGGGCAGCTATGTTGCTCTCTCCTTACTGAAGGCCACCTGCAGATCATGGGACTCCCGGGGAATGTCAGGCTGGTCCACTTGTTCGGGGCTCTTGACGATGGTTGAGGCTAGAATAAGGGTGCCACGGTGTCGTCGGCAAGCTGTTGCCCAGATATGGATTTGTTGGGTGTTCCATGCAATGGTTGGATTGTGACTCAGCAGCCAAGGTAGACCGAGGATGATGGGGTGACTGGAATATTGTAGAATCAGCAGCGGGATCGCCTCCAGATGGTGCTGTTGGACCAAGAGGGAGATGAGCGCTGTCTGGTGTGTCAGGCTACAGTTGCCGAGGGGTTTTCCGTTGATGGCCGCCTCTGTCAGGGGGGTGCAGAGCTGGTGAAGCGGGACATCGAGCCATCGTGCCAGCTGGCTGGAGATGAAATTCCCCGCTGCAACGGAGTCAATCAGGGCCACTGCGCAAAGGGTCAGACCGTGACAGGACACCTTGACGGGAATCTTAAACCTTTGTCCTGCGATGGCTAAGGGTGACACCTTTACCTTTTGGGGCGTGGCTTCTCCTTCCTGACTCTGGGATCAGGGGCCAGCTCTTCTCCAGGGGCGATGCTCGGCAGATCTGGCCTGTCCCAACTCCATGGGCTCCACCCCTTCACCAGTGGGGCCTTCGGGAACCCTGGGCTGGCTCCGCCATCTCTCCTGCAGGAGCTGGTCCAGGCTTATGGCAGCGTTGATGTCGGCAGGCAGGGACATCTCATGATCCCTGCAGGCCATCTCTGCATGGAGCTCTGGACACAGCCCCCTCCTGAAGATGGACAGTAAGGCTGGTGCATTCCAGCCACTGGCTGCAGCTAAGGCGTGGGACTGGAGAGCATAATCCGCTGCAGTCTTGTTCCCTTGACTGAGCTCCAATAGATGGTCGCCGTCCCTCTTTCCGGGGTGATCAAAGACTGAGCGGAACTGAAGAAGGAAGTCAGCATAGGTGGAGAAAGCTGACTCCCCCCAGACAGCTGTTGCCCAGTCTAGGGCCTTCCCCGAAAGGTGGGTCACCACTGCTGCAATCTTCTCGGCATCACTCAGGCCTGGGTGGTAAGTGAAGTACAAGCCACATTGTAGAATGAAGCCTCTGCACATGGTGGGGTCACCGTCGTAACGTTCGGGGAGGAGCACGGGAGAATCACCCCAGAGGGAGGAGGGAGCAGGCTGCAGTCCCACAGGAGAGACAGAGGAGGGCGCTGGTGGTGGAGCACGGGAGATGGACAGCTTGCGGACCCCGCAAACAAGTGTGTTGTGCATAGCACCCAGACGGCCAATCTCCCTCTGCTGCTCTGCCATAAGCTGGTAGAGATCGGGAGAGTGGGCAACAAACTCTCCCGACTCCGAGGGCAGTGAGATCCCTGCTGAGTGCATTTTGATGTCAAAGTCGTCTGTAAGAGCTGGGTCATGTGCCCATGTGACCGGCACGGAGGACAGGAAATTGAGGATTCGACTCAGGTGCAAGGATGGATTTGGTTGTTGGTTTATTTATGCCTGCCACACAAGCAGGAGGCATACATGCAAAAGATACAAACAAAATAGGAAACAAAATTTATGCCTGACCCATATTCCCTTCAACCCCAAAAGAAAATTCAAACAATCTGACTAATTGATTGGAACATATCAGGTTACATTTAATGGGATTCCAGAGATAAAGATACAATGTCCAGATAAACAAAATAGGAAACTAGAATATCTGGGGTTGAAAGAGTTAAAGAGTGCAAACTATGGTAATACCAAAAACAGGCTATTATATAGCAATACAGTATTACAAATAGTAAACAAAAGGGGAAGCGAGGTTCCTTTAATTATAAACTGCTGGAACTACACTGCACTATGCTCAATGGTTTAGTTTTATGCTAATATTCACGCGAATACGGCCAAGACAGAGAAATAGCACTGGTGTATGGCTTACGCGACTTTGCAAAGAGAAAGTTCAAAGCACTGACATTTATGTCCGCTGCTACCACTCAGCGGCAATGAGAAACAGATGATTCAAGTTGACTGATGAGTGGCGGTGCGGTCCAGATTTTAATTTGCCGGCATGCTGGACCACAGGAGGCCAGGCCTGACAGAGATTTCCTGCCCTGAAGAGTTTGAGTGTATTATAGTAGAGATATGTAGCCCAAGGAGGGAAGAAAATATTAAGTAAACAAATTTTTATAATCCATGTAGGATCCTAAGTAGCGACATGTTCAAGGAAATAGCAGGGACAGTATTTAGAAGGGAAATATGGTGTGGAGATTTCAATGCTCAAAATAGCTTATGGGGAAGCAGCCACACAGACAGTAACGGGAATATAGTTGAAGAAATGAAGGATGAAAGATCACTGGTCTGCCTTAATGATGGACAGGGTACAAGAATTAATGTGAACAGACGTCCTGTATCATGTCTAGATCTAACATTAGTGTCAGATATAAATTAGTGGGTGTGTGTAAATGGTGTGTAAGGGGTGACTCCACACCAGGGAGTGATCATTCCCCAGTCATCACTACAATAAATACAAATGTATATGCACAAGAGGACTAACCACATATGAGATGATACTTTAGTAAAGCTGACTGGCAGAAATTTAGGAACTATTGTGAGGAGACAGCACATTTGATAAAATTTTAGGGAAACATAAAAGAGTGCACCGATCAAATCACAGAACATATTCTAAATGCTGCAAATTGGAGTACTCCCAAAAGAATAACAGGGTGGAAAGAAGGTGGTTCCTTGGTGGAGTGAGGAGTGTAGCAAAGCTATAAAAGAGCATAACAAGACATTCAGAGCCTTAAGGAAAAACATGACGCAAGAGAATCTCATAGATTATAAAAGGAAAAGGGCAATGGCTCGGAGGAAAATTAAAGATACACAAAGGAAAACATATAGAGAATTTTGTTCCACCACCGGCAAGTAAATATTCAAGATATATGGACCATGTTTAAGCAAATAAGTAGGGAAAGGAAGTCTGTCAAAATTCCAGCACTAATTAATGGAAAGAACTTAGCGGTGTCAGACAAAGATAAGGC